AAATACCAACACATTTGGTTAATGGATCCTAAGATAAATCTTCTCATATAGTTTAAGTTCCATTATTTTAAACTTAGATCTACAATAAATCAAAACCCTCAACTTCCAACATGCGATTACTAATTTTTTCCAATTTAAACATCTCATTATCTTCCGGCCCTTGTTCCCTATAACATTCCCTGTAACTGTCATCAAACTTCTTGTTTAGTTAGTGCTCATTCTGTCATCAAACTCCTTGTTTAGTTAGTGCTAATATCATAAAAGACCCAAAATATGCTCATTTCTTACCATTTTCTTTCTAACATTGTCAATACTCTTAAGTGAATGGTTTGAAAGAAATTCTGATTCAGTATTATAAACTAAAATCTACGAAATCCATCCCTACAAATTCCAATTGCAATAGATTTTGCATCCTAGATCAACTAAGCCAAGAACTTTATGGCCTATATTTTCATGTATATTAAACCATTTTTAAATAAAATCAACATAGAACCGAGTTTATTTCCCTTTTAGAATCTATATGGATTTTATATCAACTTTGAAAAACATTGAATTTTAGATTAGTGCACTTATATAGGCATATCTCTAATGTCTAAAAACGTTCACATCAAGACAAGTCTCTGCCTGCAAACTAATAGTATGGAGACTACGAGTCCCTAGATAATTTTTTTACATCTTGCTTTTCTGCCTTTTGTTCTCTCAATCAATTTCACTATCTGTCTGTTACAGCACTAATTGTTTGGGTTTGTAATGTGATGTTAGAATTTGTTAGCACGGATATTGATCCAAGTAAGCCATTTTCGATTGCTGTAGTTTTGAAGAATTTGTCAATATTGGTGTAAAATAGTTTCTTGAGAAGTTAATTTACTGTTTTATTTTAGAAAATATTGCGAGTTATAAGCATCTAATGAGCTATGGAGAATTGGGATTCTGGAAACGAAGAAGAATGAGTATCATACTGTAATGCAGTGACACATGACCCATATTTTCAAATTCAATTGTAGTGTATTTTAGTCTTTGATTCTGATCTTATGAGAAGTGAAAGCTACCAGGTCTATATATGGTTTGTGAAGTTCGAGAGTTCTGTTTGGGATCATTTTAAACAATTGTATAATATGCGAAACCCTGTTGTGATTTTTGTTGCTTTCATGTGCCTACATGTTATCTGGTAAAGTTACTAATTTATCCAAAACTGAGTTTTGTATACTTCTTCAATTACATTTGCCTTTGACACAACTTTAGACCGTCACCTTTTCTATCTAAATAGTTTAGCCCTTTTCTGAGAAATGATTTTATCTACCTATATGCAATGCGATGAATTGGTAGAACATGATTCCTGTAACTTCTTATCTTTCCTCTCTTA